CCATCCCACTTTCACCACTTACAATAACTACCATCCCACCATCATCACCACTTACAATAACTACCATCCCACCATCACCACCTACAATAACTACCATCCCACCATCACCACCAACAATAACTACCATCCCACCATCACCACCTACACACCACTACCATCCCATCATCATCACCACCTACAATAACTACCATCCCACCATCACCACCTCAATAACTACCATCCCACCATCACCACCTACAATAACTACCTTCATCCCACCATCACCACCCAATAATAACTACCATCCCACCATCACCACCCAATAACTACCATCCCAACCATCACCACCCACAATAACCACTCATCCCACCATCACCACCCACAATAACCACCATCCCATCATCATCACCACCCAATAACTACCATCCCACCATCACCACCTACACAACTACCATCCCATCATCATCACCACCCACAATAACTACCATCTCACCATCACCACCTACAATAACTACCATCCCACCATCACCACCTACAATAACTACCATCCCACCATCACCACCTACAATAACTACCATCCCACCACCACCCACAATAACTACCATCCCACCATCACCACTCACAATAACTACCATCCCACCATCACCACCTACAATAACTACCATCTCACCATCACCACCTACAATAACTACCATCCACCATCACCACTCTACAATAACTACCATCCCACCATCACCACCTACAATAACTACCATCCCACCATCACCACCCACACAACTACCATCCCACCATCACCACCCAATAACTACCATCCCACCATCACCACCTACAATAACTACCATCCCACCATCACCAATAATAACTACCATCCCACCATCACCACTCCACACAGTTCCACCATCCACCATCACCACCCACAATAACTACCATCCCACCATCACCACCCACAATAACTACCATCCCACCATCACCACCTACAATAACTACCATCCCACCATCACCACTCACAATAACCACCATCCCACCATCACCACCTACAATAACCACCATCCCACCATCACCACCCACAATAACTACCATCTCACCATCACCACCCACAATAACTACCATCTCACCATCACCACCTAATAACTACCATCCCACCATCACCACCTCACAATAACTACCATCCCACCATCACCACCCACAATAACTACCATCCCACCATCACCACCCACAATAACTACCATCCCACCATCACCACCCTAATCTACCATCTCACCATCACCACTCCAATAACTACCATCCCACCATCACCACCCACAATAACTACCATCCCACCATCACCACAATAACTACCATCCCACCATCACCACTCACAACTACCATCTCACCATCACCACCCACAATAACTACCATCCCACCATCACCACCTACAATAACTACCATCCCACCATCATCACCACAATAACCACCATCCCACCATCACCACCACACAACTACCATCCCACCATCACCACCTGCAATAACTACCATCCCACCATCATCACCACCCACAATAACTACCATCCCACCATCACCACCCACAATAACCTCCATCCCACCACCATCACCACCCACACACAATCACTATCTCACCATCACCACCTACAATAACTACCATCCCACCATCACCACCCACAACTACCATCTCACCATCACCACCCACACAACTACCATCCCACCATCACCACCTACAATAACTACCATCCCACCATCACCACCCAACTTCCTCACCATCCCACCATCACCACCCACAATAACTACCATCCCACCATCACCACCCACAATAACTACCATCCCACCATCATCACCACCCACAATAACTACCATCCCACCATCACCACCTACAATAACTACCATCCCACCATCACCACCTACAATAACTACCATCCCACCATCACCACCCACACAACTACCATCCCACCATCATCACCTACCAATAACTACCATCCCACCATCACCACCACAATAACTTCATCCACCATCATCACCACAATAACCATCCCACCATCACCCACCTACAATAACTACCATCCCACCATCACCACCCACAATAACTACCATCCCACCATCCATCACCACCCACACCATCTCACCATCACCACCTACAATAACTACCATCCCACCATCACCACCACAATAACTCACCATCCCACCATCACCACCACAATAACTACCATCCCACCATCACCACCTACAAAACTACCATCCCACCATCACCACCTCAAAACTACCATCCCACCATCACCACCCACAATAACTACCATCCCACCAACACCACCCACAATAACTACCATCCCACCATCACCACCCACAAAACTACCATCCCACCACCACCTCCACAACCATCCCACCATCACCACCTACACAACTACCATCCCACCATCACCACCCACAATAACTACCATCCCACCATCACCACCCAATACCATCCCACCATCACCACCCAATAACTACCATCCCACCATCACCACCTACATTCAAATAACTACCATCCCACCATCACCACCAACAATTACTACCATCCCACCATCACCACTACACCATCCCACCATCACCACCAAGGCTAACTTACCATTCCACCATCACCACCCAACTACCATCCCACCATCACCACCTCTTAACCACCATCCACCATCACCACCGAATAACTACCATCCCCATCACCACCTACAATAACACCATCCCAACCATCACCAATACCATCCCATCAACCACCCAACCATCCCAATAACCACCATCCCACCATCCCCATCACCACCCAATAACTACCATCCCACCATCACCACCCCCACATAACTACCATCCCAATCACCCACAATAACTACCATCCCACCATCACCACCCAATAACTACCATCCCACCATCACCACCAATCCCACCATCATCACCACCCACAATTAACTAATCCCACCATCACCCACACAACCACTATCCCACCATCATCACCACCCACAATAACCACCATCCCACTCATCACCACTCTAACTACCATCCCACCATCACACCACCTGCTAACTACCATTCACCACACCACCCAATAACCATCCTACCCATCACCACCCATCACCACAACAACCACCATCCCACCCATCCCACCACCTAACCACCATCCCACCATCACCATAACTACCATCCACAATAACCACCATCCCACCATCACCACCCACAATACATCCCACTCACCACCCAACTACCATCCCACCATCACCACCCAATAACTACCATCCCACCATCACCACCCAATAACTACCATCCCACCATCACCACCCACAATAACTACCATCCCACCATCATCACCACCCACAAAACTACCATCCCACCACCACCCACAATAACTACCATCCCACCATCACCACCTACAATAACTACCATCCACCATCATCACCACCCACAATAACTACCATCTCACCATCACCACCTACAATAACTACCATCCCACCATCACCACCCACATAACTACCATCCCACCATCACCACCCAATAACTACCATCCCACCATCACCACTCACAATAACTACCATCCCACCATCACCACCCACAATAACCACTATCCCACCATCACCACCCACAATAACTACCATCCCAATACTCACCACCACAATAACTACCATCCCACCATCACACCAACAACTACCTTCCATCCCACCATCACCACCCACAATAACTACCATCCCACCATCACCACCTACAACTACCATCCCACCATCACCACCCAGTAACACCATCCCACCATCACCACCCACAACTACCATCCCACCATCACCACTCCAATAACTACCATCCCACCATCACCACCATACAATAATTACCATCCCACCATCACCACCCACAATGACTACCATCCCACCATCACCACCCACAATAACTCCCATCCCACCATCATCACCAACCACAATAACTACCATCTCACCATCACAACTACTACCATCCCAACACCACCACAATAACTACCATCCCACCATCACCACCTACAATAACTCCACCACCACCCACAATAATCATCCCCACCATCACCACCCACAACTACCATCCCAACATCCACTAACAACTCATCACCACCCACAATAACTACCATCCCAACCATCACCACCCACAATAACTACCATCTCACCATCATCATCCCACCATCACCACCCACAATAACTACCATCCCACCATCACCACCTACAACTACCATCCCACCATCACCACCCACAATAACTACATCCCACCATCACCACCCACAAAACTACCATCCCACCATCACCACTCCACAATAACTACCATCCCACCATCACCACCCACATCCCACCATCACCACCTACAATAACTACCATCCCACAACACTCACCACCCAATAACTACCATCCCACCACCCACCAACAACACCATCCCACCATCAACAATCAATTAACTACCATCATCACCCAATAACTACCATCCCACCATCACCACCCACCAATAACTACCATCCCACCATCACCACCTACAATAACTACCATCCCACTACCATCACCACCTACAATAACTACCATCCCACCATCACCACCCACAATAACTACCATCCCACCATCACCACCCACAATAACTACCATCCCACCATCACTTACAGAACACAGTAATGTATTATCCAAGGCAGGAGATGCAGCACTTGACAAGGGCGAGGTAAGCGGGGGCAGGTGAGAGTTGTGTGGTTGAACATGTGCATTCCGTCCATGCAAACAGCTATTTTGATTTTTGTTCATATATTTTAATTTTATACGTTATTATTAAATAATAATAATAATAATAATAATAATAATAATAATAATAATAATAATAATAATTTCCCAGCCCATGAAAACAAAACAAAATTATATGTCAGCTTCTGAAGCCCAAGACAGTGTAGGGTCAACAGAGGCTAAATATAGAGGGTAAAAGAGCTTAGGGGTGCATGTATGAGGTGTCGGGTGAGCCACGGGAGGTGGGAGTCGTCCAATTAGTGGTAACTGGATTATTACGGGGTATATAAGGGGTCAGTTGGGCTGTCCAAGTCATCCCGCTGTTGTTCTTCGTCGAGCAAACTCTTTAGCGCGACTTCTTAACCTTCTCGCAAGAGAAAACCAACCAACTTCGATGGTGAACGCCGTGAAAGTCTTCAAGAAAACCGCCCCTAATGGTACGTCACTGGCTGTTGCCACCCTTAGGTAGAATAATTTATTTGGGAAATTAAAAGTACAAAGATATAAGTAAAAAAGGCGGAGTACTGTTCCTATTTGGATATACTGTACTACACAGTACTGTATATCATTACTGGCTTCCCTCACCCAGTGTTCCAATAATCTATAAATCGTATATGGTAGCCAGGCGTCGTTGTTGTTCTCTTGGTTTTGTACAAAAATCTCACGTAACTTGAACAAGCGTCCTTTACGCGACTTTACAAAGACTAAAACTCTCCTCAAATTCTGACAGGGTTTCATCAGGGTGAAGTAGTGAAGCAATGTCGCATAAGTATATGCTGTATATTACACAATTATGCTCCGTCACGCAGCTTTTGTCGTCAACTTGTCCAACAACCCTCACTAGTTTTTGAAAAGTCAGCTCTTACACATGTGATGTAGTTATATTTTGTGATGGTGATATCTTTTTACATACTTTAATGCGATTTGAACTTAGTCCATTTTACCTGTATTTGACAATTAGTGTAAATTTTGTGACGATAACTTAAAATGTTAAAATTACCGACCTGTTTAATGTTTTCCATTAAATGATCATAAATATAACAGTAATAGAACAGATGAAACAGTTTTCTGAAAGAGTTCGTAAATTTTATTTAAAATTTCCTGTCCGTTTAAATTTTATTTTTATTTTACTATTAATCGTCTGACCAACAATCAGTATATCCTTATAATCCTTATTAGCATTTAATTTAAAATGTGAGGTACAATCACTAAAAAAAATCTATACAAAATTGTGTTGAGAATATATGACAACAAACGAAGGATTTTGACAACCCTAACGAGACAACCGGAGTAGCAGTGTTCATTTTGAAATTCATTGACCCCCCCCACAAGTACCTTAAAATGTACCACTGTCAAATGAGTTCCTAGAGCGCCATCTCCAGTATATAACAAGGAGTTCGAGGGCTCATTCCAGCAGTTCAATGTACTGTGCTGTACTCAGGCGTGTCCTTATTGGTGAATTCTATATACGTACATAATCGGATATTCAGTTACTCGAAAACCAATGTTCTGTGTATCTAAAAATGCTGCCATTATTTCTGCATAAATGAATTTTTAATGAATCTTTACAAAACATGAAGTAATATAATGTACCGCTGTAGGTGTAGTGGACTCGATGCACTGAAGAATGTCAACACACACACACACACACACACACACACCTGAGTTACATCCTGACTGATGTTCACTGTTAATTTGCATACAATTTATAACTAACAACATTTTTAAGACCATGAATTATGATAACACACTATAACTGACATATTTATCAAGTAACTACATAGTGACTATAATTTAGCGTCTATTTTGATCAGTTTTAAGAGTTAGTGAAAATTTCTCAAGCCTAGAGGAACCCTCTCATGTAGAATTTATAAAAAGAGAAAAAAATGCAAGTACGGTTTTCTTTACAAAATGACTGACTTCTGACGTGCTGACCTACGATTTATGGTAAACGTTATAATTCATGTTGTCTTGTAATTAACAGAGCTTGAAATATTTGCCCTTCACGGAGGCTCAAGTTATTTTTTATTGTTTTTTGTTTAATCTCTTCCGCTTCAATACGGATTTTCGTGTGATAAAATGTTTTTTCCTACACTTTCCCAAACAGGATATGCATAGTTTTCATAGAAAAGTTCTTTGATTTCGAATATGAGGAATTTTAAATGTTATTATGCAATCAGAATTTGTTGTACACACATGTTCAAACGTTCCATGTCTCCTCCCCCACCCCCCCCACCCCCAAGAAACTAAGGCACCAAATGACCCGGCCCTCCAGTAACAAAAACAGCTAACGCAGGATAATAATTGTCCTAACAAAGTAACAATGAACAGACTAATCGTCCGAACGGTTAGTGGGCTGAGAAGTGGTGAAATGACAAATAAATTAATAAATAAATGAATGGTATAACGGTAGACTCTATTATGTTTTATTCCGGCAGGTAAAATCACCGTCTACCTAGGCCGCCGCGACTTCGTGGACAACACCTCTAGCACCGAACCTGTCGATGGCGTCGTAGTCTGTGACAATGACTACCTCCGTGGCCGCAAGGTCTTCGCCACCGTGAGTACCTAACTTTACAGGTTGGGGAAGTGAAGGCAGCCGAGTGGCGTGTCGGCCACGCTGCCTCCTTATGTACCAAAGGCTTAGGCTACAGTGTGTTGTATCTACACCGTTCTTAATGGGCAGTCAGGCTTAGGGGGCCCACTTACACCTTCACTCTAGTCCTCCAAACACATAATTTTGATCAGCTTTTCCTCAGTTGTTACACGTTCTCGGGAAGCTGGACTCTTAACTGTTAGTGTGTTAAAACTTCCACTAAAGCTTTCATTTGCAAACACTTGATGTTTCCTCTATATCAGAATCCAGTTTCACCCCGAGTTTCCTGTTACATGAAACTGTTCGTTTACTGAGGCGATGCCTCAAACACAAACCAAGTTTATATTTCCTACCACAACAATTAAACTTGCTCTAGATACTGTAGACTCCGATTTGTAGAGAAACGTTGTGGACTGACCATAAACTATTATTCTCCTCGTTCTGTCACTCTCGTTCACCCTTCTGCGTCTCCCTCAGGTTACGGTCACGTACCGTTTCGGTCGCGAGGAGGATGAGATCATGGGGATCAACTTCAGCAAAGAGCTGCAGCTCACCACGCAGCAGATCTACCCCAACTCCAACCAGGACGAGCCTACCGGCGTCCAGGACAGGCTCATAAAGAAGCTTGGTGCCAATGCCTACCCATTCGCTGTCACCCTCCCTGAAAATGCCCCCTCCTCCGTCCAGCTCCACTCTGGTGACGACGAAACTGTGAGTGTCCCTAATCCCCAGTCTTGGGTGTTCTCCCCTGACCACTGGGACTGTTTGTTGACCTCTCCTGACCACCAGTCTTAAGGAATGAGTGACCTTACTCCGAGGAGCAAATTGACTCACCATTGTGCAACTGATAGCTTACCGTAATGGTAGTTCTATACCCGTGTATTTCCCAAGTGTAAACAAGATATCCATTCACATTAGAGGACTTTCACTTTATATAAATACTGGCCGGAGAATCCCGGCTCTGATCAAGTTTGTCTTTGGCCTGCTCATATACCGTGTTCGTGACAACGCAATCTACACTACATCCACTACACTATCTACACTACAGTTTATCAACTACACTATTATCTTCACTACATCCACTGCACTTCCTAAATAACATTCACAACATTATCTACGATAAATCCACTACGCTATCATCTACGCTAAATCCACTTCACTATACTTAGATAAATGTAAGCACACAATGCAAAAAAAACACAAAAAACATACCAAATATTAGGTCCATGTTAAAAAATATGGTAATGCACACGGGGCCCACAGAGAATTTTGATAACCATGCTCGACTAACACTAAGATATACTCGTGCATCACCACCCACATGTTCCCTGACGCCCCACTCTCTGTCACAGGCCAAACCCCTCGGTGTGATCTATGAGCTGCGTGTGTTCGTTGGTGACAATGGTGACGAGAAGCCCCACAGGCGCAACTCCGTCGCCCTTGCCGTCAGGAGGGTCCAGTACTCCCCTGCTGGAGGCAACAAGCGCCAACCCAGCACCCTCGTGTCCAAGGGCTTCGCTCTCTCCTCCGGCAAGCTCAACATGGAAGTCACTCTTGACAAGGAACTGTACTACCATGGTGAGCAAGTCAAGGCCAACCTGAGCATCAATAACTCCTCCAAGAAGACTGTCAAGTCTGTCAAGGTGGCTGTGATCCAGCACGTCGAACTCACCATGACCAACAACCAGTTCACCCGCGAGGTAGGTCAGGCCCTCATACCTTCCTCACCCCTACCCCACACTCTTACCCTCCTTACCCCTACTCAACACTCCTACCTTCCTCACCCCTACCCAACACTCCTACCTTCCTCATCCCTGCCCCACACTCTTACCTTCCTCATCCTTACCCCTCACTCCTACCTTTCTCACCCCTACCCCACACTCTTACCTTCCTCACCCCTATCCCACACTCCTACCTTCCTCACCCCTACTCAACACTCCTACCTTCCTCACCCCTACCCAACACTCCTACCTTCCTCACCCCTACCCCATACTCTTACCTTCCTCATCCTTACCCCTCACTCCTACCTTTCTCACCCCTCCCCATACTCTTACCTTCCTCACCTCTATCCCTCACTCCTACCTTCCTCACCTCTATTCCTGACTCCTACCTGCTCACCCCTACCTCTCACGCCTACCTAGCTCATCCCTATTCCATACTCCTACCCTACTCCTAATTAGTTTTGTAATCCATCACATCAAATATTTGTGAAAAATAAAACTCGCTTAGATAAAACACGATACACTTAATGATGAAACACAGTCTCCTACCGAACGAATTAACTTTACATTTAATATTATCTTAACTTTATAAAACTTGGTGTTGTAACATAGCATATTGCTCCCCCGACAGGTGTCTTCACTGGAGTCCAAAGAGGGCTGCCCCATCACCCCCGGCAGCAACCTGCAGAAGGCCTTCAACCTCACCCCGCTTGCCTCCTCCAACAAGGCCAAATTTGGCATCGCCCTTGATGGCAAGCAGAAGGTAACAGCCATTTATTTAGATTTTCTTGCACAATGCTTTTAAGATATAACACCCTGTATATGTGAAGTTAAAAGACTACTTACTCAAAATCAGTAAACACACACACACACACACCATACATATGCTGTATAAGATTAAAAAAATATACGTACAGTATTTCCTCACACGGCCAACAATATTTAAGAGTAAGATTATGAACAAGTGTGACCCACTCACTCTTCTCCCACAGGACTCTGACGCTAACCTTGCCTCCTCCACCATCGTGGCTGCCGGCAAGAGCGCCAACGATGCTCTTGGTATCGTGGTGTCCTACTCCCTCCGCGTCAAGCTGAACTGCGGTGCCTTGGGCGGCGAGCTGGTGGCTGACCTGCCCTTCAAGCTCATGCACCCCGCCCCTGGTTGGTTTCCTTTTGTAAATTGGCAGCATCCGCGTGTATATAGGCATAGCGTGGGCTGACTGGGTCTTCCCTAGCATAATATTCACTTGTGTCCCACACAGCACTCAATTCCTTCATCTAACGCACCAACTTAACCTAGTCTAACCTAACCTACAGCTAATCCAATTTAGAAGTGGCGACACTGGCGAATGTCATGAAGGAGACGTACTAATCTCCCAAGGTTATGTCCTCATACTTGTTGATTTTGCCTTCATAATAATATTATAAATTTCTGATCACTATAAACATGGTATGAAGGTTTACATTACTAAAGAGATAACAGGCTAGGTTGAGATAACAGGCTAGGTTGAGATAACAGGCTAGGTAGAGATAACAGGCTAGGTAGAAGAGAAGTACCGGTTTTATCAACTTTCGATATACAGTAAACTGGTTGCAGGGTCCAGAAATAACTGACCATCTACAGCTGATAATTCCCCCAAATAATTCCAAGGGTAAAGAAATAAAATTTGAATTCAAATATCATAATAACGGTGCTACAAAAACGAGTAATATCAAACATTTTTGAGTGACAGCCTCATGATCTACACCGCAGCTGTAATATTTTTAGTTGAGAATACTGAATGGGTCCTCAAATTCTTGATAACCCAAGAGTATCGCAGGAGTCCTTGTCTGATAATCAAAATCTTAAAATAATTTGTTGCTCTTGATTTTGTATTAAGTTTCTGAACAGATATTCATGTCTCACTGTTTAAACATTACCCAGATTAAGACTGAGATGTTGTGCCTGCAGGTACTACCATCAAGGCCCGCCCTGACGCTGGCTACACTGGTGGTGAGGACCTAGAGTTCGAGGACTTCGCCCGTCTGCGCCGCGGCGTCAGCGTTGACCAGAACTAAGGTTCTAATCTCCACATCTACACTCGCTTCCTCACTTGCCGATTACCTTGATCTCCACGGTTCATCGATCGAACGAACGATACGGGATTTTTTCGAAACGAAGCCGACGTCGTGACAAGTTTTCAGCGTTGCGCGCTCAGTATGATATTTTGCTCGCGTTCCCGCGCTGCCCACACTGACCTCACGTCAAAATCTCTCACCTGCACAGGTTGCAGAGGCTCATCGCCATCTTGGGTCATGGTGTGGGCAATCAAGGTCAACCATCATCAGCACCCACGTGTCATCTGGTATGGGCAGCTCGCGAACTGCCTGGGCTTTGTGAATGTATTTTCAGTTCGTCTGATGCCCGCCTTGGGCAGCACCTACGCTGTGCATGTGATTTATGACTTTTCTGTTTTAGCATTTTTTTTTTTTTAGTTTTTGTTCCACAAATTCATTTAAAAGTGCTCGAAAATATCAGAGCATTTTAATTTGCTAACATAATTCCAGCAATCTAAATCAATTGGCGTTTCTATTTTATTTTATGCTAATAAAAAAAATAATAAGCCTCTTTTTTACTTTTCCTTTAATGTACTTCTGACTCACACCACATGCCTTTGAAACCCAGAAAAACGTAATGTTCCTTACTCTAATAACATTAATCTCTTAAATCTGCCATACAATGTTAATTTTTATTGTTGACATGACCAACAATGACTCGTGTTATTACAAACATTTCCTTCACATATTACACAAACACAAAGTCATTTAGCATCTAAGATTCATCACACCACCGCCCCATTCCACCAGGGTGAGGTGCAGCGTTCTCCATAACCTTCTTGAAAGAGATGTACAACTCTAAAAAAAAAATAATTATTATTTTTTTTTTTTCAATTTCGCCTTGTGGTAAATATGGCTGGAAACACTGGTGCCGCTACACAATGTTATTCCGGTGAGCCTCTTCAGCTACCGTGATGCTGTTGACATCGGTATCATTATATTTTCTTGGCATAATTTGTGAATTTTGCACTAAGAAGAATAATAATAAAAATAAATATAATAATAATAAATAGCAGGGGAACCCAGCGTTGCTCAGGTGGATTCTTGAAAGGCAGCTCAGCGTATATCTAAGGCTACTCTATTAGCTACATTTCACTCCTTCAGTTCTCCGTAAAGAGCAGTTTTATAATGAATTTTCATACCATACATAACTATATTCCAGTTAATAATCTACAGTACCGCCTGGCCTCGCTTATCCCTCGACCTCACTATCACCATACGCGTCCAGGCATCTCCTCGGTTAGAACTTCGACTTAAATGTTGCTTCTGGAAAACCTCATTTGGTTAGCCTTGCCTTTGACGAGCTATATTTAACTCATGACCCCGACACACGACACGCAGACGAGGTGGTTGCAGTGATGGTTTTTGTACATTAGTGTTGGTGATAGTTGTACTGAAGTAGTGGTGGCGGTTGTACTATAGTGGTGGTGGTTGTACCGTAGTGGTGGTGGTTGTACTGTAGCGGTGGTGGTTGTACTGTAGGAGTGATGGTTGTACTGTAGTAGTGGTGGTTGTACTGTAGTGGTGGTGGTGGTGGTTGTACTGTAGCGGTGGTGGTTGTACTGTGGTGGTGGTGGTTGGCTACTGTAGCGGTGGTGGTTGTACTGTGGTGGTGGTGACTGAGTGGTGGTTGCAATGTAGTGGTGGGTGGTTGGTACTTGAAGTGGGGGTGGTTGTACTGTAGTGGTGGTGGTTGTAATGCAGTAGTGGTGGGGTAGTACTGTAGCGGGTGGTGGTTGTACTGTAGTGGTGGTAGCTGTAGTGTAGTGGTGGGTGGTGGTTGTACTTAGTGGTGGTGTGGTTGTACTGTAGTGGTGGTGGCTGTAGCGTAGTGGTGGTGGCTGTACTTAGTGGTGGTGGCTGTAGTGTAGTGGTGGTGGTTGTACTTTAGTGGTGTGGCTGTAATGTAGTGGTGGTGGTTGTACTGTAGTGGTGTGGCTGTAGTGTAGTGGTGGTGGTTGTACTTAGTGGTGGTGGCTGTAGTGTAGTGGTGGTGTGTACTTAGTGGTGGTGGCTGTAGTGTGGAGTGGTGGTGGTTGTACTGTAGTGGTGGTGGCTTGCACTTAGTGGTGGTGGTTGTACCTAGTGGTGGTGGCTGTAGTGTAGTGGTGGTGGTTGTACTGTAGTGGTGGTGTTTGTAATGTAGTGGTGGTGTTTTTGCATGTGGTGGTGGTGGGTGGTTGTACAGTGGTGGTGGTTGTACTGTAGTGGTGGTGATGGTAGTGGTGGTGGTTGTACTGTAGTGGTGGTGTTTGTACTGTAGTGGTGGTGTTGTACTGTGTGTGGTGTTGTACTTAGTGGTGGTTGTACTGTAGTGGTGGTGGTTGTATTGTAGTTGTGGTGTTTGTACTGGTGGTGGTTGTACCTAGTGGTGTGGTGGTGGCTGTAGTGTAGTGGTGGTGGTTGTACCTGGGTGGTGGTGGTTGTACTGTAGTGGTGGTGGTTGTACTGTAGTGGTGGTGGTTGTACTGTAGTGGTGGTGGCTGCTAGTGTGTGGTGGTGTTTGTTATAGTGGTGGTTGTACTTAGTGGTGGTGGTGTGTAGTGGTGGTGGTTGTATTGTAGTGGTGGTGCTGGGGTGGTGGTTGTACTGTAGTGGTGGTGGTTGTACTTAGTGGTGATGGCTGTAGTGTAGTGTGGTTGTTGTGTGGTGGTGGTTGGCTGTAGGTGGTTGTGTGTGTTAGTGGTGGTGTTTTATTGGTGGTGGTTGTGGTGTGGTGTAGTTGTGGTGGTTGTATGTAGTGGGTGGTGGTTGTACTGTAGTGGTGATGGCTGTAGTGTAGTGGTGGTGTTTGTATTATAGTGGTGGTGGTTGTACTTGGTGGTGATGGCTGTAGTGTAAATATACGATCTGTGCTGGATCTGAGGCTTTTGTCTGTACTTCCACCACCCACCACAACCTTGTCCAACACAGTTCTCAAGTTGTGTATTTTGCGACTTTGAACATTTCCGTTGTATTGTGTGTGTGTGTGTGTGTGTGTAATAATAATAATAATAATAATTAACGGTTTATTAAGTTCTGCAGCCCGAGCTGAAAATATACATTGGACATAAATGACTTATTACATACATTGGTGGTTTAACAAAAGCCTTCATTAGAGAAAGGTAAAGGAACATACAGTGAACATACAGATTAATGTAGGTGTTGAACAACAAACATGTAGTGTAGTAACTTCCTCCCAGATGGTGTTAGGAGGACCTACGTGGTGTAGTAGTTCCCTCACAGATGGTGTTATGGGGACCTGACGTGGTAGTAATTTCACAGATGGTGTTATGAGGGCCTCACGTGTGTAGTAATTCCCCACAGATGGTGTTATGAGGGCCTGACGGGTGTAGTAATTCCCTCACAGATGGTGTTATAGGGCCTCACGTGGTAGTAATTCCCTCACAGATGGTGTTATGAGGGACCATGTGTAGTAATTCCTCACAGATGGTGTTATGAGGGCCCTACGTGTAGTAATTCCTCACAGATGGTGTTATGAGGGCCTGACGTGGTATAGTAATTCCTCACAGATGGTGTTTAGTGAGGGACCTGACGTGATGTGCACTTTCCACAGATGGTGTTATGGAGGGACCTGACGTGGTATAGTAATTTCACAGATGGTGTTGTGAGGGACCTGACGTGGTGTAATTCCTCACAGATGGTGTTATGAGGGCCTGACGGTATAGTAATTCCCTCACAGATGGTGTTGTGAGGGACTGACGTGGTATAGTAATTCCCCACAGATGGTGTTGTGAGGACCTGACGGTAAAATTCTCACAGATGGTGTTGTGAGGGACTGACGTGGTATAGTAATTTCACAGATGGTGTTGTGAGGACCTGACGTATAGTAATTCCTCACAGATGGTGTGTGTGAGGGACCTGACGTGGTATAGTAATTCCCTCACAGATGGTGTTGTGAGGGACCTGACGTGGTATAGTAATTCCCCACAGATGGTGTTATATGAGTGAGGTGTGGTCCCAGTCCTTGTGTGTGTGTGTCATGTTGTTTTATATCTCGCACAATAACTCTGATACAACATACTGTACCTTAATACCTCGTTAATTTTAGGCAATTCAGTAAATTAAGGTTGTCACACTAGCGAACACATCATCTTAGATATAAACAAAAAATTATTTAGTGGTGAAAGTTAATATATCATTTACATACTTGAGGACATCCAGGATTTTCAAGGATCCTCAGCACCCCTTGGACCTCTGGTGAACGGAAATAAAGTCCCAACGAAAAAGTCAAGTAAGACTTGTACACATTCACAACACAATATATATGTATATATATATATATATATATATATATATATATATATATATATATATATATATATATATATATATATATATATATATATCTTGATAAAATCACACGGGAAAATGGAAACAACGGAGTACCTTAGCTTGTTAAAGGAATGTAATGAAGAGCTTAGTATGCCCTTAGCAAAGTTGTTTAACATGTCCTTAAAACGGGTGTAGTACCAGAATCTCGGAGGATAGCGAATGTAATACCGATTTTCAAGAAGGGAGATAGATCACTATCCTCTAACTACCGTCCAATCAGTCTAATATCAATAGTAGGCAAATTACTGGAAGCAATCATTTCAAACTCTATTCGAAATTACCTTGAGAAGCACCAATTGATCAATGATTCCCGCATGGCTTCACAAGCGGGCGTTCTTGTCTAACTAATCTATTAACATTCTTTTCATTAGTTTTCGAAACGGTGGACGAGGGGCACAATTATGATGTGGTATATCTCGACTTTAGCAAAGCCTTCGACAGAGTCCCACGAAAGACTAATTAGAAAGGTAGAAGCACATGGCATCAAAGGTGATATTCTTAAATGGATTTGGGCGTGGTTACAGGACAGGAAACAGCGAGTGAGCATTAACGGCACTAAATCCCAGTGGAGCAACGTCACTAGTGGAGTTCCCCAAGGCTCAGTACTTGACCATAAACGACATAGATATCGGCATAGACAGCTACATAAGTAAATTTGCTGATGACACTAAAATAGGACGTGTTATTAAATCTGGCGAGGACTCCACAAAACTACAGGAGCATCTAAACAAATTTTTCGAATGGTCTGAAAAATGGCAGATGAAATTCAATGTGTACAAATGTAGAGTACTCAGTATAGAGATGTAAACAGGGAAACCAGTTACGGATGAACAACGATGCCATTGAGAAATCCGACTGCGAGAGAGATTTAGGAGTAAATAATAAGTAGGAACCTTAAGCCAAGTAAACAAAGTGTATTTGCTTGAAACAAGGCATAAAGTACTGGGTTCATACAAAGGAGTGTAGTTACAAGACTAAGGAGAGGTCATCTTACGATTATATCTGCGCTTGTGAGACCTCACCTGGATTACGCAGTTCAGTTCTGGTCACCGTATTACAGAATGGATATAGAATCCTTGGAAAGAATTCAGAGGAGAATGACAAGACTAATCCCGCATTAGGAACCTTGAGTATAGAGACGTTAAAGCATCTTAATTTGCACCTCGAGAGA